CCTCAGTGGGCCCGTTCTAAGTGGGAACAGGCGGATTTTGGGGACGGGTTTGCAACTATTCGAGTAAATAATGGACGGGTGTTTATAAAAACGGGGCTCAAAAGGTTCTTTTTTAAATCACCGGCTTGTTATACCAACAAGACACCAATTTGGGCATATTTTGCCCCAAAATCCAGCTCCAGTGCAAACTGGGGAGGGGGGTGTCAGGGCTTTTAATCCTCTGATTTTGGGAAGGTTTGTTTCTTTTTGGGCATTTTCCCCGAGGGAGCAGCCAATGTGCTGGGAAATGGGGATTTTCAGCCTCAAAACGGTGCCCGCAGAGGGGGAAAAAAAAACAAATTGAGAAGGAATTGTTAATATAAGTGGCTCTGCGCTGCTGCCTCGAGGTAAAAATGCTGATAAACCCCCAAACCCCCTTTTTTGAGGGGGAAAACTGTCCCCTTCTTAATTGAAAAATAAGACAACTTTGTGTTCTTAGCACCAGTGGTGGAGGTGGGGAGGAAACAGCTCCAAAAATATCCCTAAAACCATCTGGATTTACCCCAAATCCTGCTTGGGAGGTGGGGGCAAAAATCCCTCCCAGTGTCACCAGTCTGCCCAGTCTCCCCATCCTGGCCTTATCCCCCTCTTCTTATCCCAATTTATTGGGATAATTTCATCTCATCATTTAGTTTCTTCCATTTCATAACTTCCCCCGCTCTGAAAAGAGGCTTTTTCTCCCCAAAACAAACCTGAGCGGGATGTTCCCCTCCCCCAAACCCCTCACTGCCCACAACTCCCCAAAAAAGCCGCATCCGAGGGTTTATTTAAGCTAAAAAGGGGCACTTTTTTTAACATAAAATAGGCTTTTTAGCAGCAGAAATTATGTCCCTCCCGGCGCTCCAAGCCTGGAACATACGGAGCAGAACGTATAGACCAGCAAGCGCGCTGTGGTATAGGGCACAACTCCAGCGAGGGGAGCGTATGGACCGTGATATAGGGCCTGGATATAACACCCAGACCCTATAGCCCAATACCGGGACAAGACCACATAGCCCAGACCATATAGCCCCATATAGTATAGCGTATATATAGAGAGAGAGAACATATAGGGCCCAGAGCATACAGCAACGTATAGGGACTGGAGCACAGACCCTTATCCAGGTCCTAGACCCCACAACCCAACATAGGGCCTGGAATATAGGGCCGAGACCATATAGGAACCAGGGCATGTAGGTCTGTATAGATCCACACAGGTCTGTATAGACACATATAGATCTGTATAGACCCCTATAGGTCAGTTTATGGCCCGTAGTGCCCAGAGCATGGAGCTGAATATAGGGACGAGGCCCTGTAGAGCAATATAGGACCGGATGGAGCTGGTAGCTGTGGTGAGCGGTAGCAAAAGAAATCTGAATTTTGGGGGGTTTTTAGGTTTGGTTTTGGTTTGGTGGTTGTTGGTTTTTTTGCCTTTTATTCTGGAAAATAATTTCTCCGCTCGGAGCCGCCGTCACACAGAATTTCCCCCATTGCAGCACCGGGCGAGTGGCGCTTTGGCGCGTGTCAAATCCTCCTCGCTAAAGACACACACACACAAAAAAAAAACCAACCCACCCAAAAAAAAAAAAAAAAAAAAAGATGTAAAAGGAGGAAAACCCGCCCAAAAATAAAATACAACGAGCGGAACCACAGTGCCCGCTAACTCCAGCTGGGATCGTAACCCGTCCAGTCCGAAGGAGGGGCGAGATAAACGCGACGTCCCCGATAAACGAAGCTGACGATACCGCGATAACCGGCGCGGGGGACGCCGGATTTGAGGTCGTCCATCAGCCCCAGGGCTTTGGCGAAGGCTTTGAAGGAATCGCGGCCGCTGTACTGCAGGCGGACGGCGCCAAGCTCCCGTCGTCGGTTCCCTTGGAGCTCCTCCACCCTCACCTCCGGCGCGGCGTAAACCTTGTGCAGAAAAGAACGTTCGTACTCTTCCTTTTTGAGGTAAGAAAGATCCAGTTGGGTAAAAGGCACGAAACGGTCGTTAAGTTTGATAAATTTTAAATATTGATCGAAAAATTGCCCGTGGCTCACTCCTTTACGACCGAACGTCATCGTACGGGAGACTTCGGGGCGGATGCAGGAACGATCTCGGCGTTGTTCGGGTTGACGCATCCAATCGTCCCAAAAAGCTCGCGGCCATTTGGGTTCGAGTTCATCCCAAAGTTCGGCTAAAAGCAACCAACCGAGACCAGGAAAAAAATCAGTCCGGTAAAGTAATTCCGCTTGTCCGACGTCCACCATTTGCTCTTTCCCGTTATCGTTCCAAGCGGAGATGCACCAGAGGCTGCGATCGGCGAGGAGGAGCGGGAACGCCGCTTGGAAATACTCGAAAAAATCCGGAGCGACTTCTAAATCGTCCTCTACCACGATGGCAGCGCGGTAACGGAAGGTCCGAAAAACTTGTCCTAACGCCCAACGATAATGCCGAGCGATTTTATAATAACCTTGGAATTTACGGTGTTCTGCCGGCACCGGGATATCGCTGAGATCCGGTTGTCGGATGTGAGC